CTCTGAGCTATCAGCTCCTCCCCCACCTGTGCCCTCTGGGCTATGTTCATCCTTATTATTGGGTCTCAAGGCTCCTTTAGCTGTTTTGATAGCACTTCCGGTTTCCACAGTCTCTTTGGTCTCAGGCCCAAATTTTGGGTCCTGACCGAGGCCTGAGCAGGCCCACCCCTGTTGTAACTGATGGTAGGGAGAGCTTTGAACTGACCCCGGCTGTGCTGCCTCGCCTTCTATTACTCTCTGTCTTTAGCTCTCTTATGATTCACACAGGGACACAAACCAAACAAAATAGCAATTGGGGCTCAGGCTGAGTCTCCATGTCAGACCTCCAGATGTTTCCCAAAATGCAGAAGTTTTGATCATGTAGCTAAATTCCTCTCCACTTAGGTGAATCATTAACTTGTCCTCACCATGTGGCCTCATGCAGTCTCAGCTTGTGACTTGTGCAAGTGAAGCCCAGGATCTCTGAGTGCAGACTTTGGGACTGTTTCTGATACAAATGCACCTTTTCTAAGTAAGCAGCAGAGGAGTCTTTCCAGGCTGGTGTCAAAACTGGGCCAGAAAAGTGTTCTTCAATATTGTAAGTAGGTTTTAGTAATGGGGAAAAGAAGGTGTGGGATTAATCTCTTTCCTGCCAGCAAAGTGTGCTTTTCAAATACCTTTTTCCTCTGTGGCTTCCAAGGTATCTACAAGTCTTCCTTCTACTTACTCCTCCCTAACTTTCAGGGCCAAGTAGAAATTGCATAATCTACAGAGAAGTGACCCAGCCTGGGATGGAAACAAAGCTCAGCCCTTGACACGTGGGTGCCAGGCACGCTCCTGACAAGGGTTGTGATAAAGCCCAAAACCCACTCTTGGGAGATTTAAAAGACATAAAAGTCCCCCTCACTATATTTTATATATATATATATATATATATATATATATATAATATATAAAAGAAATCCTTCTTTCCTCACAGTGTCCTTGTGTTCACATAGGTCTATATATATATTATATATATATGAATATATAATATGATATATATATATCATAATATATATAATAGGAATATATAATATGAATATACTAGCAACTGGCACAAACTGGAACTTGGTGTGTGTACACACACACACATACACACACACACACGGCTGCATGTGTGGTATGCTTTTGTGGGGATCAGAACACACTACCCAAAAATATGGTACATTGGCATTTGAGAAAACCACAGAAGCAGAAAGTCCACTCTCATCCTCCCTTCAGCCTTCTTCCCAGAAGCTGGTCATGAAAACTTCATTTCAGAGGCACCTTCCTATACTCAGAGGAAAAGAATGTCCTTATCTCTGAAGTCACAGGGACAGAGAGAAGAATCTGGACAGGACTTGCTAGGCACCCCTCCCCATTTATTACCTGTGGATAATACTTCTTGTCCAGTCATACTATCTACTAGTGTCCACTCTTCTTCAGACTCAGCATAGAGATACCAAGGTGTCCCTGTTTCTTTGGGTTTTCATTTCTCTTGGTTCCTGTGTGATGAAAATCTTGTATTAAATACATTTTCATGCTTTTCTCTGGTTCATTTGTCTTCTGTTATGGGGACCTCACCCCTGAACCTAGCAGTGGGTGAGGAAAAGAAATCCTTCCTTCCTCACAGTGTCCTTGTGTCCACGTAGGTCTATATATAATGCTGTTACTTTAGTTCTCATCATTTTGGGGGAGCCATTTGTTATAAATATCTTTCTGTGATTACAGTGATTATCTGGAATTTGATCCTGATTCCAGTGATAAAAAGGGAGTTCTTAAAGGATTTTAAATGTTTTCACCATAAAGAAATGATAAATGTTTGAGGAGATAGGTAAATTGAATCCAACTTAAACATCACATAGTGATGAATGAATATGTCAAAACATCACACAGTACCCCCATAAATATGTATAATCTTTATTTTTTAATGTGTCTGTTAAAAGTAAATTTTAAAATAAATAAAGAAATACGAGCAGCTTAGTAATTACTAGAAAGTAGTATTATAATACAAATGAAGGTAAGCCATTCAATTCATAGAGATTTTACAAGATTGGGAGAACTACTTTTCCCATCAACAAACTAAAATAAACCTGCAAGCTTTATAAATAAAAGAATATTAAGAAATGATAAATATTGTCTGCCAAAAAAAATGGAGAAGTCTATTTAAAAAAAAAAAAATCCTAAAAGTGACCTTGTTCAGATACCGTAGGATAGTTGGGTTTGTTTTGACTGAGTGTGTATGCATCTGTCCTAGTCTCCTGGTCCTTTCCATTGCCACCCTTTGTCTCCCCAAACCTGTGGTAGAAGTGGTCCTGGTGACTGTCTAGTCGGTTGGCTGGTGGAGTGGCTCCAACTCTGATTTCAGAATTTCCGTTGGCCTCTAACGGCTACTCTCCCTCATATGTCCTTAGCGAGTTTAGTACTCGATGGGCTGTTTGCTCTAGCAAATGCATCTGAATGATTTCTTTTGCAAGAAAAGTTTATTAATATGATTTCTCCCCTCAGGAAAATATCCTCCCTGTGTTTGATGGTTGGGAACTTTATGTTAGATCTGTCAGTGAGTACATTTTTTGAAAGTAAACACCAAGGAGGCAATTAACTCTATAATGGCACCATTTTATTACTTAGTCATAGTGTAAGAGTCTTAAAAACATTTTCTCTAATCCAGAAAGGACTTGAATTTATTTTAAAAAAAATGAACGCCATATAAATTAAATAAATAGCTAAGATGTCAGATATGGGTAAGAATTCAAAACAAGAAGGAAGCAGTGCACAGCCCTGGGTAGTGGCTGCTGTCAGGGGGCCAGTTTAACTCCAAGTTTTTCCTAATGGCCAAAACAGAAAGGGAAACTCAGTTTTAAGAGTCATCATGTTATAATATACATCCAAATTAACTTTTTTCAGACCAAGAGGAAATTCTACATGGCCAAGGAAAGCCCTTATAACTCTCAAAGGCCTAACTTGACCTGAATTGCTGGACTACCCAAAACTTTAGGGATATTTTACCAGTTGACTTGGACCTGGGGGGAAAATGTAGCAGTGTTAATGTGCACACAGACAGAATAAAATCTGCGCATGAATATTAGAGAGGGGTGTGAGCATGCCCCTGGCTCTTCTGTGTACCAGGAATATGCAATGCAAAGTAACTGATCATGTATGATCCCAGATCATTCGAGTGAATGAAGAGTTTTATTTATCCTTCAAGGGCCTACTGAAGTACCTCAATCCTGTGACCTTACGAGGTACTTCAGGAGTCCCCAGCATAAGCCTTAGTAGAGTAGGGGTCTTCTATGTGCCTTGCATGGATATGTCTCAAGTAAATAATTAGTGACTTACTTTCATGTCTGCACCTTAGGAGGCTGTGACATTCTCTGTCTTATCCATCACCGAAAGGCAGTGCCCAGCATCGTGCCTTCTCCAGTGTCCCTTGAGCCTAAGAAGAGTGAATGCCTTGTGCTGGCCAGAGTTCGGAGCGGCCTGCAAGGTTTTCCTCGGGTGTTCCTTCTAACAGTAATATGAGGAAATTACTATTATTATTGCCATTTTACAGATGAAGAAAACCATGGCCCGAAGAGTAATTTGCCTCTTTACTGGAAGTAAGTTGTAGAAGAGAGAAGTTAAGCCCATTGTTGGAACCAGCATGCTAGAATGAAGACCCAAGTCTGAATGTTTGAAAAAAGATAGGCTTGTCTCAAGCTTAGGAGGCACTAAATGTGCCAGTGGGTTATGTCAGAGGAAAAGAGTAGAATGTTGTGTTTATTGATATGGTTCAGTATAAATTCCTTCTTATTATCATAGTTCCAGAATTGAGGTCTCTCTCTGAGTTATGATCTATGAACAGGCATCCCTGGGAACAAGCATGGTTGGGCAAACTGAGTATCTATGTAGATCTTCATTTCATAGAGTATGATACCACTCAAAATTCAGGAGTACATTTAAACAGGAGAATGCATGGTTCTGCATTAACTTGTTGGAAGCCACCACATAGAAAAATGGAGGCAATAATCTTTGCTTCTAATTTCTTCTAAATGCTTACTCTTTCTCAAGGCAAAGTACTATTTATAACTTTTTTATTAATTTATTCTAAAGTCAGCAGATTCTTAAGAGGCCTGATATCTTTTTATGGTTTTCTGGGGGAAATAATGAAACAGTTGGGCTAATCTAATGTTGATATTTGATCTAACATTTTGATGAATAAACCTCTGTTCTGAAAGAGACTTATGCCCTTTTGAGATGCTTCACATATTTCCTTTCCAAAGGTATCCCAAATAGTTGACTATAAATATTTCTACTTAATGAGATGGCCTTGAAATATCACCACTGTGATTATAGGCAAAAATAGTGAATTTCATTAGGTTGCTAGAGTCCCACTTTTGAATCTCAGAGCAATTGTGGGTGGTAAATAGATGAAGAGCTTTTTGGATATAATTAGCTTATTTTAATGTACCTACTAGCTTACCACTGCCATTCTGATTCAGTCCCAGGCTACCTTAAGTATGTAGATCACTTTAGAACTGTTATAGGGATTCTTCATGACCCCAAAGCATTAATACGTTAAAACAACACACACACATATTCTCCAGTTTTAGGGAGCATTGAGGTATTATTAAAATTCTATATTTTATTAATATTCACTGTAACTTGGTTATAATCTAGGTTCTAATACCTAGCACTAAAGTGATATCACATATTATCCGCACAATAAATTTAATTGAATCAAACTCTATAGTTTTGCCTTAATGATATTATTATGCTTTGTCAGTTCTTGGACCATAATTCATTTTGGTGTAAATCCTGATAAACCCATAGATTTTATTTGTGCATGTGTGTTGGCATTGGGGATAGACAGAGGAGTTTTTCTAAGCCAGGAATATATATAGGCTTGGAGATACACGTATAGTTATACCTATAGTCCAGGAGAATACCAGCTTCCTGACCTCTTCACCAGTGCTGTTTTGAATGTCTTGTAGAATGTTCTATATTATAGATTTGTCTGATTGTTTCCTCATGGTGGAGTTTAACTTGTTTCTGTATCACCTGCATTTCCTATAGACCTGCGTTAGATCTGAAGGCTTCAGTGGATCCCAGTTCAATGCTTTGGGAGCAAGCCATTCATTGATGATGCTGTGTAGCACCTGTCATGGCATCTGGAGCCACGTTATGTGGCTATTCATGATGCTGATGGCCAGTCTCTCCATTTGAGTATGTATTTTTTACTTTGTAGTTAGTTTCAAATCATAATTAGTTGGTGGGATGCATTTATTTAATTTTAATGACATGTAATATGTTTGCATCCATTCTTGAGGAAGCAAAGTGTTTTGTTTGGCGCAGGCCTGCAGGGCAGGGCAGTCCAGCATGCCTCTGTTCACACCAGGCAGATTCCCACTTCTCTGTAAGTGAGATTCAGAGGGCATTCCCACCAAGGGCAGCTGGGACAATTCTGTTGTTTAACCGGTTTTAGGGGCTAAGTAAAATATGGGAATCTGGGGATAATTTTAGTCTTATTTACGTTTTTAATTGGTAATACATTCATGGGATGCAAAATTCAAAATATATAAAAAGGGTAAACAGTGAAGACCTGTTCTAGATACTTGTTACTATTTACGGGTAGCAAACCACCTCAAAATAGTGACTTGGAAGAGTAATGGTGTCCTTATTTAGTAATGAAGCAGGGGGTGGGTGGTGAATAATGGGCTCTGGTGATCCATTCTTACTCGGGGTCTCTTGCAGTTGCTATCAGTGGCTGTGGCTGCAGCCATCAAAGCTTTCTTCATTCTTGTCTGCTGCGGAAGCTGGAAAGACTCAAAAACAGCTGGGGTCAGGAGAAGCTGCACTCCCTGGGTGCCTCTTCTCTCTGCCCCTCACTCTGTGGCCTCCTGGTGGCCTCCTGGTCACTGGGCCTCTTACGTGGCAGCTGATGGCTACTGCAGTGATTGTCCCTAGGAGAACTTGCAGACACTGAAAATCCTTTCCAATGCAGCTTTGGACCTGGTACAGTATGACTCCTTCTGCATTTAATTCATTGGGACAGTGGCAAAGGCCCACCAGGGCAAGGAAAAGGCCACAGACTCTGAGAGGAGGAGGGGCAAAGAATTTGCAGCTGTGCTTGAAAACCATCATGTTCTCCTACATTTCCCTTTTGCCAGACACCCAGTTCACTTTTCCCAATGTAACTGATGTCACCAGTCTCCTGTGAAGCATTTAAGAGATGCTGTATGTACAACATAATCATATTCTCACTTAGCATGGTGTATTTATTTGTTCTGTGCTTTGATTTTTTTCCTTAACAGTTATTTCATGGTTATTTCACTGATTATTCAGGTCAGTCCACAAACTGGATCTTGATTATTTAAATGCCTTTGTAGTATCACATTATATAGATGTACTATAATGTTTAACCACTTATCTGTTAGTGGTTAATTTAGGTGATTTCAACAATTATCATTGTTAAAACTAATTATCATTGGTAAAATTTTAACAATTATCATTGTTAAAAAACAATGTGTTGTTACACATGTGAAGATTTTATTTTCTTATTTTTAAAGATCACTACTTGTATTTTTTCAATTATTGAAAAGGATTTAAGGAGGATTCTGATATAGAATAAACGTTTGAGGCAAGTAAAAAGGTGAGATACTCCACATTTTTTATAAACATAAGGATTTCTGAATAATTCAAAAATGCCCCCTTTTCTGAATCCTATCAATGAGTGAGACATGAGCATTTACACCCTCTTTGAGATTATTAGGCTGGTAGAAACACTCTGAGATGTTATAAGTAGATGTCTATTTCCACAATGACATCTACTCTCTATGAGGAAAAATTCTTAATTTAAAAAAGATTTCCTCATGACCCCATAGGGCTTGGTACAAAATTTTCATTATTTCTGCAAATCCTTCTCCAACATCTAGTTGAGGTGAATGATTTACCCTTGGATTTTGTGCACTTTCCTCACAAAATATATTCTACTTTTACCATCTCCTCTCTTCTTCTTAGCTAATAATTTATTTTACAGATTCATAGGAAACATCACAGTTTAGTTTTGTACAGTGACATGATGTAGGGAGTAGGGATGAGAATTTCAGCAAAAGTCTATAGGCAAGAGAGAAGACAATGCCATGTGGTTGAAAAGGCAGGATACTGGAGCCAGAAAACCTACCATTTACATACCTGGCCATGGGCTAGTCCGTCCTTCCTTCTTTCCTTCCTTCCTTCCTTCCTTCCTTCCTTCCTTCCTTCCTTCCTTCCTTCCTTCCTTCCCTCCCTCCCTCCCTCCCTCCCTTGTCTTTGTACAAGATTTTATTAAATGTCTTTAAAGAGCAATATCCAGACTCCAGATACAGCTTCCAAGGAGACCCTGTTAGGCTATAGGGACTGGCTGGGGCATGGCAGACGGCTCTTGCTTTGCATCCTTCAGTTCTGAGATGTGGTGGTGGGCAGGATCTCATCTTTGGGTTCCACGATGCTCACATGGTCAGGCAGAGGCTTCTTCTGGGCCACTTGGGTCCCAGAGCAGCATGATCTTCACTTTGATGCCCAGCACACTAGAGGACAACAGATAGGAACTAGACAGTGCTTCACCAGCAACCCCTCCATCCCCCACCCCCCCCCCCACACACACACACAACATACAGAATAGAAGAGAGCAGTTCACTCCAGCACCACTGGATCTGGCCTCTTCTCATGGTTCATCAACTTTCAAAAAATCAATTTCCTCATCTGAAAATGAGATAATACTTACTTACAAAAGCATGTTGTCATGAAAACAAAAAGAAAGCGCTCAACTCATATTTACAGAGTTCCTGCTGTGTCTAGGTGTATTTATACACTTGGTCTCATTAGTCCTCCAAGGAGTTCACTAGCTGTCATCCTTAGCGGCTGTATTAAGTTCGTAAAGCTGCTGTAACAAATTTCAGGTGGTTTAACAATCAAAGTTTATTCTCTCAAGGTGTTATAGTTCAGAAGTTTTAATCAAGTTGTTGGCAGAGTTGATTCCTTCTGGAAAATTTGAGGGAGAATCCATTCTGTTCCTCTCTCCTGACTTCTGGTAGCTGATCACAATTCTTGACATTCTGCGACATGTGGCTATGTCACTCCGATCTTTACCTATGTCTTCATATACCCTTCCCATCTGTGTTTGTCTCTGTCTTCTTTACTCTTACAAATTCATTGAATTAGGGGCCCACCTTAAATCCAAGATGATCTCAGCTTGACATCCTTAATTTAATTCTATATTTATACTTATGAATGTGACCCTGTTTTCTAAATAAGGGGTCAGGAATTGGATGTATCTTTTGGGGACCACAATTTAACTCACTATAGTGACCAAGCTAAGAATTAAATCCAGACTCTTTCTGATTTCAGGTGCAGCGTACTTGGACTGTACAATGACCTCTCCCTCTGGGAGACTGCTTTGCCTGGTTAAGGAGCACATCATGGATTCTTCTCATCCTGGGGTTACATGGTTCCCTGTGCTTTTAATTTATACCAGGAAGTAGCTTGGACAACTGGTAGAAGTCACTGAGTCTCTAAATTTTTGATTTGGTGATAAGGGCATACCTGCCTAAATAATTTTTGAATAGTAGTTGGGTTATGCACTCAGGATTTGTTAAATCATCCAATCTTATAACTAACACTTATTATTATTTTTATGTGTCACACCTGGGCTAATTGCTTCACATGCATCATCCCATATCACCATTTCTCATTTATAGAAGACACTGAGATTCCCAGGTGGCATATCTCAGGTTACAGAGCTGCTAAGTAGTACAGTTGAGATTTGAACACAGGCGATGTGACACTAAGTCCCAGGCTCTTGAAACTACAGTAGAGTTACATTGCCACTGCTCTGTTGGCAAGGAGTCAGCTTCCCTGCCACCAAGCTGGCCCCTAGGCAATTAGGCTTAGCAAACAAAGACTTGTTAATCATGACAATTAACCACATATTTCTAATAGGAACAGACTGGGCATTCAGATATCTCTTTGTTTATTTTCCTTCATTTCATTTTTGGAGTGACACCATTGAAAGATACTTGGAACTATTGAATGAAAGTACTTGGAACCTAAGCTTAGCTTTTAGGAAAAAATAAAATCAGGGTATTTCCTTTCATCGTTATGATTCCAGGCCCTTTGGTCTGGAGTTTCCCTATGCATTCATTACTCAGAACAGTTGCTTTGAGTTCGTCAGCACATTAAAATGCAATTTTAAGAAAATACAGCATTTCTCTTCCACCACAAACTAGATTTATTTTGGTTTGCTGTCAATGTAAAACAAATTTCCCTTCAACAGGGTAATATAATAAAGCCTCAGAACTAGGAGGAAGGATGTAGTAAGTAAGACGTAGTCAGCACTCTAATTCTTTCTTTCTGATTAATATTTTTAAATTATCTTTGGCTGAAACAAGAAAGATAAATCATTAATATGACCCAAGTCTAAACAAAAGCTTATTGCTTTACAGTATATTCATTTATTTTTAATGCTCGTGTCAGTTTTTAAAGGATGACTTTATAACAGTATTTAACTACTTAAAACATTAACTACCAGTCTGCTGGTCCATCATCTTAACTTAAATGCTGAACTAAACTAGAATTGCTCATTGCCTCCTCTCCCCTGTAATGAAATTTGTTAATGATGGTGTATTTATGCTTATATGGAAGAGGTCATCTTCTTTTGTATGTTCTTTCTTTAATTAACTCAGTATCCTTGAGAAAGAATTTCAGCCTAAATGTCTTACTGATGGATTTATTATTTTCCTCTTAACGTAATAATGTCACTTGTATTTAGAGAATCAAGCCATTACACCAGCTTTGCTTCAACTCTGAAGCTGTCTTTGTAAATCATGCATTCAAGAGGATCTTGGGAACATATTCTGTGATTCAGGCTTGTAACTTAATTATGCTTGGGAATGAGCAAGATTAGGGAACAAAAACAGGAATTCTGGCAACAAAGGAAAGAACTGGCCTCCTTGCCCATTTGCTGAGCTACTTCCTCTCCTCTGCATTGGACCCCAACATGTCACCAGGACAAGAGGCAAGAAACATGGGTGGATTGCCTGCAATTGGGAGTCTGAGTATTTAGACTTTTAATGTAGAATATTAGTGGTTGTATGTAAAGTTTCTATTTTATTATTTGAAGTATTTCATGCAAATAATAAAAATAAACACCTAATGATTCTTGCTCAAGATATTGTTTTATAGATTCTTCTATAAATTTGAAAGGAGTAGAATGTCTGCCTTGGCTTTTCTCATGCTGTGAGCTTAGTTGACAATATTGAATCCAGTGAACTTCCAACCACCATAATGAGGGGTGGGGGTTTATCAGAGTATTTTCATTGTCAAGCTAGGAAAGCTGAAGAACAGAGAGCTGAAGCCATTTGCTCAAAGTCAATTGAAGATCAGGGAAGTTTTGGCTTTAAACTTCCTATGCTGGATATTATTCAGTTGTTCTCTTCTTGATTTACGCCTTTGTTAATTATTACTATTCTTTAAAGGTGGAGAAAATAAGTCTGAGAACCTTTTGCTGTTTTTGTTGTCAAAAAGTTCATTCTGGCAGGGTTCAGGGGTGCACAATGTAATCCCAGTGGTTCAGGAGGCTGAGATAGGAGGACCATGAGTTCAAAGCCAACCTCAGCAAAAGCAAGGTGCTAAGCAACTCAGTGAGACTCTGTCTCTAAATAAAATACAAAATAGGGCTGGGGATGTGGCTCAGTGGTCAAGTGTCTCTGAGTTCAATCCCTGGTACCCACCTCCCACCAAAAAAAATTATTTAGCTATTCTTGACTCCAGTTTTATTTTTCAATTTTTATTCATTGTTTGCTAAAATGGGGAGGCTTAAATGAATGTAAGACGAATGTTAGTTATTCTGATACTCAATTTTTCAATATGCTGCAATGACTATGGGCTGAAAATTTCATCTAAATCCCCAGGGCGCAAGCTCCAACAGTCCGCTCTGATCATACTAGAATAACCCTGCTGCCTCTGGCCAATGGGGCTCACCAAAACACCAACAGCACCCATTTTACAGGATTCTGCTTTCCCTAATCTTCTCTCATACAGACTGTGGGTGGGTGGGATGGTGGGGCAGAGGCAATGACTGGGGGGTTGCCGCCCAGTTGGCCACTTCTTAATAATCAGTGGAAGCACAGCCTGGCCCGAATTGACTTCACTTCTCCTTCAAGTCTAGAGCACTCCACAGCTCTTTTGTCTCTGAGCAATGGGTCATATTCCACTCTGTGTTGTATTACTGTACTCCCTGTATGGTAATGGTTGTTTCATTTTGTTTTCTATGGAAAAGCCCAGAAAAAAAACTCATAGTCTCCTTTCAGAATCCTCTATCTTTGAGCATCATCCAGAGGCTGTTCTCATGTTTCCAGAGATTTATGTTTATAGGCATAACTTTTGTGCCCAGAGATATTAACTAGCCCAATATACAATTATCATGCTATACAGTAATTCTTGAAGGATCTCAGATAAGCCCCATCATATCTTCATTGCAACTGAACCCTAGAGAAACTAAATAAGACCAAAGACAAGGAGTGAAACTTAATAGTAGCCAGAGAATAAAGACAGATTTTACACACAGGAGCAAATATTAGTGCATCAATAAACTCTCAATAGCATCCCCATCAGAGACAAAGGATAATAAATAATAATTGTTATTATTGTTTCTACATTGAAAAAATAAGGATTTTCCTCCTTCTTTTTCCACCCACTGTGGACATGCATACTTCCAAGACCATAACATAACATAACATAACATAACATAACATAACATAACAATGGTAGTAATTTTGTTTAGATCAATCACCAGTGCCTACATTATTATGATGGAAAAGCTGCTTTTGGGTGTGTGACATGTATTCACCTTCTGAGAGCTTTTGAGAGCGTCTTTTCCTTATTTTTCTGATATTTCACAATGGTGTGCTCAGTACTACGACTGTTTTATGCAATGTTTTATAATGTAATGTAATATTTTATATTTTCTCTATGAAATACAAATATGTAGATATAAATTTAGATAATATAATTTTTCTCTTATTTTCTTTCTCTTTGCTTTTTTCTGTACTTCCTCGGAGGTAGATTCAACCTGAACCTCCAAATTTTCTATTGAGAGGTTCAGCTCTGCTACCATGTTTTTAATATCTAAGAACTCATTTATGCTCTTGGAATGTTTCTTTTTATATCGCATTCCAACTTTGTTTCCAGGATTAAGTATCACGGCTCATCTCTTTAAGGGAAATAGAAATTTGTTCTTCCTTTTGTAGTTTATTTTTTCCTCCAAGTTACTTTTTTCTGTTTACGGTTTTTTTTTAATCTTTATTACATATATTACAAGCATTCTTCATCTTCTAAATCTGATAGAGACACCTAGTATTAGATGTCTGTTCATGTTTAATTGTGGATGGATAAAAAATTGATTTGAAGATCTGATTGAGTTTCATTGGAGGTTGATCTGGCTGGGTCATTTCTTGGGCAAAACCTTAATATCAGCATGGTTACATTTTCCTCTGGGCTGATTAGCATCTTCAAAGATGACTGATTCTTCCATTCTTCTAATTCTTCTGTTGGGAGAGAAAAGGTCTAGTCCTAACTGTTCTGGAAACTGAGTGGGGGGTGGGGCTTAGAGGCAAGGTCTCAGTCTTCAATATCTTCATTTGCTTCCCCTAGTTTCAGGATGTGGCCTCCAAGTCCAGTGTACCTGTTTTATCCTCTCTAGAGAATAAACATCATTCTTTTGCCAGGGTGGGGAGGAGAAGTCACCCAGTAGTGTGGGATAAAGAGGGAATCTAGGGCAGGAGAGCTTCTCAGCAGTTTTTCTCATCCTCCTTATTATAAGTCATCCTCTTTACCCCCATGTCCTGTGCTTCCTGGTGTCAACATTTCCTAGATTCTTGATAATACCACAGCAAAAACCAAGCCAGCTGCAAATTTTACTTTCTTTTATCTGCTTGGTCAGTTTTTATTATGTATTCTCTTTCTAGATTTTAAAAGTTTGATTTTGACTCTCCCATTCTGCATATCCTTAAAGGCTCATACATTTCTAAATGAAAGCTATTTGTTGTAGTTTTTACATGATTTCCAGAAAAGCAAAATTGGGATGGTTATGCTTAATCCATCATATCTAACCAGGACTTTATCCTAGAAGTCTGTGTCTCACTAAACTGTGCTTTTGTGACTGATGTTTTCAAAACCTAGGAAACTTAACCTTTCACAATTCTTTGCTGAAATAAGTTACTAAAGGATATATTTCAAATATAAAGAAATTGAACCTTGAAGGAAGGAGCAGAATACAAGAATCAATAGACTTGAAGACAAGCTGGAGAACCAAGCAGAGGCCAATTCAGTGTGGCTGTTCCCTTCTGGGAGAATGTGGTAATGTTGCTGTTGATGTTGTGTGGAAAATTAGCAGAGATGCAGGAGGCAGCCCCTACTACAAGACATTTCCACGGCAAGAGTGAAGTGCTACTGCCTTCTTCTGGAGTGAAACCTTCAGGTGCAGGAACTAGTTTCTCCATGAAGCATCCCCATTCTCCATCACCATGGGAGAGATTCTGAGTTCAATAAGCTGAATATTCAGAAGTTTAATTTGAACCTGCCATGATAAGTAAAACTTCCACATAAAAAATAAGTTTTTTTAAGTATATATTAACTTGTAAGATGGGAAATTTGAAAAGCAGCATTTTCAGTTTGGAGAAAAATTATTGGGGTTTCTAACTATTCATAAAACAAGATGTCCCAGTTAAAAGTTTCTGTTTCTTTTTTTCACACACACTTTCATTGGACACAGAGACTTGCTCTGTGGGTTATAACCAAGACCCAAGGTAATTTCCTTTGGCCTCTAGAAATATAATCTTGTAAGATGCCACTTTGTGTATTCCATTCTATTTTGTATGCTGCACAACCTCAAGTGCCATCAAATAAATATTTCTATTTTAATCCTGAAACCATTTTCCACATTACTATTTTTAATGGCCTACGTGTTGGTATTTGGAATGGCATCCACTCAATAGTTTAGATTTTTCTTCTATTCCGATAGAACATCAAGGCCACAGCTTAATAATGGTTCAATATATATATATATATATATATATATATATATATATATATATATATATATATATATATATATATATTTCTAGTGTCTGTGGCCTGGCATCCCCAAAGACAGGATGCTTTATGAAAGGCTATGTTGAAGATAGATTACATCATCAATTTCAACTACAAACCTAGACCTGTGAACAACTTGGTTGCTAGAAAATTAAGGATAAATATTATATAGTAAACAGCAGGCCAGGCATTCTTTTGAGCACTCTAAAATACAAATCTACTTAGTACTTATGACTGCCCTGTGAGGTAGGTACTGTTATTGTTTCCATTTAACAGATGACGAAAATGAGGCACAAAGATACCAAATAATGTGCTCTCAGTTCACAGATAGTAAGTGGCAGAGCTACAATTTAAACCCACGTGGTCTAGCTCCAAAGTTTGTGATCTCAGAGACAAAATTATGCTTCTATTCTCGATATAACACTTTCTTACTCCTTTAAACAGTCTCCACCCCACTTATGTTAATAATTAGAGTATTTAATTTTGTTAATCATGAAAGGATTAAACCAGTGTATTATTAACCCTGGATCAGTAGAATCACCTTCAAGAGCTTAAAGGAAATACTAGGGCTTTGGTTCTACCCAGAAATGATGATCCAATTGATCTAGCGAAGCTAAACTTCCAATACTAAAAAAGAAACAACTCCCCAGATGGTTCTAATGTACAAGTAGAGTTGTGATTCACTGGTATTAAGTCACTGAGGCATCTTGTGATGTCTGGTGGTAGAATTTCTTCATTATCACCAATTAATCTGGGCCTTGGGGACTTAGAAAATCGTAGGAAACTAGTTTCGCTTAACATCTTTAAATCCCTAGTGTTTTGTCCTTTGTGTTTAAAGCCTCCATTTGAGTAATACTGTGACTTGGCTTCTCAACATGTGGCTTCTCTAATGTGTCTTTGTACATGACACACACGGACATACACATATACCACATATGCCTGTTCAGAGCTATATTCTCTGTCACCCTCCCGGTGGCTCTGTTCTG